GTACTTTAGCTCTTTTAATAATTTAAAATTTTAATATATATAAATTTTAAAATAAAATTAATTTTACTATCATTCTGTCAAAAAAATTAATTTAAAATTAAAATTATTAATTGAAAATGTTAAAATAAAATTAAATATGGATAGTTAAGATTCCGCAACCATGCAAGGAGCACCACAATACAGTCCAGAAGATAGTTGAGTACTTGAGTTTGTGTTTCAAACGTCCTGGTGATTCTTTTCTGGCTCTCAATATCAAAAGTTATGTGTATCCTGCCATGATATTCTTTTCTTTTGTCTTTGTCCCTACTGAGCTAGCTCTCTTGATCACGTCATGTCGTTCATTTCACCAAAAGATTCTTTACGTGCCAGAGTAAAGGGGGAAAAATTGCTAAAATGGACATGGCAATAATACCAACATTTTTCAAATAAATGGCCTTTGAGATATATATATATATATATATATGATACACGAACTCTGGCTCTTTTATCCAAATAGTTTTATACTTTACTTCTTAATAATAATAATAATTTCCCCGAGTGCTAAAATCCCACATGCACCATTGCCAAAAAGTCAGAAACCTATTGCTTTTCCTGTACTCACGCCTGAGGGTCCTTCAATGGCTTTCTTCATTTTGATTCTGGTTTTGAAATTTGAACGCATATCTGTTGCCAAAATATTTATCAAGCAGGGCAGACTATGTGCATTGCAAGTAAAAGGATTAAAGGCACTAACAAAAATATTAACATGAACATTTGTAAAAGCATAAAACAAAAGAAGTAGATAAAAGGGTAAATCATAAAGGAGTGAGTAAGTTGTCATTCAGTGCTCAGCAATGCTCGAGCGTGAGTTGCTGCTTGGCTATCCTCAAATAATCATCCATAGATGTGTTCCATGAGTTCTTTTTTTTTTGCGTTTTATGCCGAAAGCTGTACGCTGAATAATTTATTTTGTGCTTTCTATGTTGGACACTAAAAGATGCATATCGGGATTAAAAAAAAGGCGATCATTCGAATCTGGAACAAAGTTTATTTTCGTAACTGGAAAGTAAATAAAGTGCCATCACACGTCACTCTCCTGTCTTTTGACATTAGGATTAGTAAATGGCGAGAAAAACATAGAAGACGGCGGTGTTGAAGGGCACGAGGCCACGAGCTAATCGAATCACTTGCAGGTGGGCAGCGGAGATCCACAGAGGCACTCGTTATGAAAATAGGAAGACACGTCGAAAGCCTGCAACCTACCACCCTGAGGAATTTCACCACACATTCTATTATAACTCGCATTGAGCACCTGCAAAAAAATTCACCGCCTTCAATCCCTGAGGGAGCGTCCCGTATATCATATTATGATTTAGGTCCAACAATATCAAGCTGGCAGGGAACTCCACCCTGCCGACATCGAACGCCAGCAAGTTCCTCGACAAGTCCACCATCTCGGTCATCTTGTTGGGCCTAAAAAGCATGTAGGCATCACCCTCCAGCCTGTTTCTCTGCAACTCTATACATGACGGGTCTTGGTTGGCGAGGAATGTCGGGACTTTGCCGGTAAACTGGTTGCAGGACAGGAAGAGAGCAGGGGAGGAGTTGAAGGATCCGAAGGAGTCGGGAATTAGGCCGGTAAGTTTGTTGCGGTCTAAGCACAGAGAGATGAGCTTTGGAAGGGGAGAGAGAGAGCCGGGATTGTTGAAGGAGAGGTCCAAAAACTCAAGGTTATAAAGATGGGCCAGGAAGTCGGGTACTGGGCTAGACACATTGGTCCAGCTGATGGTGAGGTACCTGAGGGAGGTGAGGTTGGAGATGGCGAGAGGGATGGGGCCAGTGAGGTTGGAGAGTTTATCGAGGATAAGGATCTGGAGGGAAGGGAAATTGGCAATGGAAGGTGGAATTTGAGAGGAGATGTTGGGGTCAGGGAAGGAATTTAGAACGGAGAGGGAGATAATACAGTAGGTCTTGTGGTCACACTTGACGGAGTACCAGTAGCAGCAATCGGTATCTGGATCCCAAGTGACAAAATGCTGGGGGTCATTGAGGTCATGCTTGAGCTGGAGGAGGGCCTTCTTTTCGGTTAGGTTGCAGAGTACGGCAAGAGCTGGGCAGATAAGGATGAGAAGGAAGCAAAGATGAAACATGGCGGCCATGACTAGGTGGATGCATGATCCTTTTCCATATAAGGCGAAAGAATGTCATGATGTGTGAGGTGACGCCGGCGTGTAGCTGATTAAACAATGAACACTCTGAATCTCTAATAGAATACTAATGAGAATGAAAAACAAGGAAAGATGGTTGCCATTTCTGGGGTGGGTGGTCAAGAAAGTTCAAAGAAAGCCACCCAATCATGTGGGATTTGGATGGATAACGGTGTAGAATCATCAGGAGAAACTATTTCGATTGAACTCCCAATGTTGCGCAACTGTACGCGCTGGCCCCCCATCTACCCAATCACGCCCACTCAACTTTGACATCCATCAATATCAATATTCATATCCAAGAAAAATCATAGCCACTGCTGTTACTAAATACAGTAAAGTCTGCTATTTTTTCCCAAAAACATGGTTTCGCGTCAAAAATATTATCTCAATTTTTTATTACTCAGCCATATCAGCCATATCTCTCAGACTCACTCAACCTATAAGCAGGTGAGAATATAAGGCTGCATGCTGCATATAAATAAAGTAAGAGCACATGGGGTTTGTCAACCGTCCGAGGAACGCTTTCAATGATCACAAATCTAAACAATAAGGTCATGTTTGGTACGTTGGGCTGATAAAGTGGGACTGGCATTGAAATTGGCTAATATCAATTTTTTATGTTTGGCATGAGGCAATGAGAGATTTAATCTTAATCTTAATTTTATTTACATAGGATTACCCAATACCACCATCTCTTAGTATTGGAAAATCGATCTCGAGGCTACATAATTTCAGACCAAATTACCCTCTTATCCATCAGCTATCCTTGCATTGCCATTACTCCCTGATGGATTGACGTCCCTATCACCTTGTCAGAGTGAAGTGTGAACAGCGTTAGCTCTCCATGTCCGTTCTCAGCACCAATATCTTGAAAGATCAGATTTGGTAAGTTCATTTGTGACGATGTCCCTGGATTTGTTTAGATCTAGTTATGCAAGTTCAGATCTTGTGAGCTTGACTACGACCCTCTCCTTCCTTAGTCTTGATTTGCTCGAACGTGACCCTATACCTCCTTGATCCAGCAATCCAGCAAGCTCGATGATAGCGAAGGTAGTGGCTAATGAGGACAAATATGAGTAGTGATGGAATTTGGGTTCATCAAAATGATTCCCACTTTTAAGAAGAATGAAGAAGAAGAAGAATATGGGTTCATCGAAAGCATTCCCACTTTCAGCCAGAATAATGACAATGCTGATGAACTTGGGTAGTGGGCACGAGAGTAGAGGATGAAGAAGAAAAGGATTAGAGCAATATTATATTGTTGCTATTTTTGGAATAAATATGAGTCTTGTTTTTTTATTAATTATATATCATACTAAACACAATTTTAAAACTGATTACCACTTCCAATCCTACTTTTATGGCCCATTTAGTTCAATTTCTTGCATGAGGATTACTTTTAATTCTGATGCCTTTTATTGATTCCTGACGTTTGGTTGCACCTCTATAAAGGAAAGGAGATTACATGATGGCTACCTGATTCCCTTAAAAGCTGCATCTGGATTACATGATCAAGCCCTATGAATGAGGATGCAAACCTCTTGTAATTGCTCAGAAAATTCATTTTTGCCCTTAAAATGTTAAGCCAATATGTCGACCCTCACTACGTCTTCCTCTCCCCTACCTACTCTCCATCTTTGATATTGACATTGGCGACTTAGCACTCCCCACCTTTTGCAGCAATATCAGGTCATAAAGATGCCTTCCATTAGCACCGTCGAGCTCTGCATCATTCTTCCCAAGTTGCTGTCATTCATTTTCATTAGATTTGAACTTTATTGAGCTTTGTTCTCACCATCCCATCCCTTTCGTTCATTCTTCTTAGAATTGGTGTTGATTTAAATTTCTAAAAACAAAGAAAAAAAAAGAAAGAAAGAAAGAAAGAAAGAAAGAAAGAAAGGGAGGGGGATTTTTAAAGCCCAGTGAACATTAGTGAAGCGATAAGAAAAAGCTGGTGTTCATTTTTGTTGGCTATGCGATACGGGTCTAGGTTTAAGGAAGAAGAAGATGGTCCTAGATTTCTAATAGAAAAGAAGTGGCAAGATTTTGATTTCAAATTGGGGTTCAAGGAAAAAGAAAATGGTGCTAGATTTATGGTGAGAAGGAAGAGACAAAATGCAACATTGGCCTTGGTTTAGTGAGGAAGATGATGGTCGGGATTTTGGAAGATGAAGATGAGGAAGGACTATATTTTTTTATGGGTAGTTTGGTCATTTTATATTTTTAATATTTTAGTAAATTAAAAAAATAAATTTTATCCAACTATTTCTAAATGCCTCACTAAACAAATGCTATAAAATCCCGGTTACATTACATTTCTTACCATTACATTCCCTATCATTCCTTATACCAAACGGGCCATTAATCTCATTCTCAGGCCATGTGTCAAACAGGATTAAAAGATTAAATTCAATGTTTTAAATTTAATATTATTTTAATTTTTGTCCAAAAATTTATTTTATTTTTATATTTTTTTTATTGATATTCCAGCGGCGAAGATCAAATTACTGAAATAGAATCCAACTCTTCATTTGTCAAAAAAAAAAATAAAAGAAAAGAAAAGAAAAAGAATCCATCTCTTCGGGCCAAAATATCCCGTCATCCATAAAGAATCCAAAGTTGGCTTAATTAATATAAGTATCAATTTTATTATGATCTGTTGGGCAGAGCGTAAATTAATAGCTAGTCAAGCTTGCTGCTGCAAAAAGCTACAATTAAAAACATAATCTAAACGCTATCTTGCCGGTAGCATACTTGCGCTGATTTAAATTCAGTTGTATTTCTGTATCTCATTGAAATCAAAATTAATGATTTGGATGAAATTATTCATTCATTAACATTAGAATATAAATTCATCCAGAAGTGGCTGTACTTACAGTAACGAAATGTAAATCACTAATTGTGCTTGCAGCGTCAATTATTCTTTTAAATTAAAGCACACTCGAATGCGAAGTTGTTCTAAGAAATCCTAACGGCAATCATTTGCATGCTGGTAACGGGGAGCCGCAAAGGCACTTGTTATGGAAATAGGAATATACATCGAAACTCTGCAACTTTCCCCCCACCGGAATGCGGCCGCACAGCCTGTTATAGCTGACGTTCAGATACTGAAAATTCAGCGCCGTCAGCCCCCCCGGAAGGCTGCCGTATATCTTGTTGTGGTTCAGATCCAACGACGTCAGGCTGCTGGGGAACACCACACTGCTCAGATCAAAGGACAGCAGGTTCCTCGACAGGTCCACTGTCTGCAGCGCCGTCTTATCGGATCCCAACAGCATGGATGCATCTCCTTCCAGATTGTTCCTGGACCAGTCGATGGTTGAGAAGTTCAAGTTAGCGAGAGACCTGGGGATCTGACCGGAGAGCTTGTTGTGAGAGAGAGAGAGACCAGGGCTGTTCTTGAAGTAGCCAAAGGACTCAGGGATGGGACCCGTGAGGTGATTGCGGTCCAGGCGAAGAGCGTCAAGGTGAGGCAATTGGGAGAGGGAGGGGGGAATTGTGCCGGAGAGATTATTAAAGGAGAGATCGAGGAAAGTGAGGTTCTTAAGTTGGGAAAGGAAGCTCGGGACAGGACCGGAGAGGTTGGTCCAACTGATGCGAAGGAAGGTGAGCTGGGTCAGTTTGGCGATGGCGGGAGGGAGGGGGCCGGTGAGATTAGGGAGTTTATGGAGGGTGAGGGACTGGAGGTAAGGGAGATTGGCGATGGAAGGTGGGATTTGAGCGGAAAAGTTGGTGTAGGGGACGGAATCGAGAATGGTGAGAGAGATAATACGGTGGGTTTTGCGGTCGCATCCGATGGTGTACCAGTAACAGCAATCGGTGTCGGGCTGCCAAGAGGCGAGAAGGTAAGGGTTGTTGAGGTCTTGCTTGAGCTGGAGGAGGACTTTCTTATCAGCTGGGTTGCAGAGCACGGCCAGAGCAGGGGAGATGAGTATCAGAAGGAAGCACACACGAAACATCGCTGCCATTCTTCTCGACTCAGATTATGTGCTGGGTTTGGCCCTTGTGCATGACGAGTTGATCCCTTCGTGCTTGTGTGTCTCTATTTATAGAACATGTTATGACTCGTGACGGCTGAACTACTGACCACAGCGTTAAACACTCTCCACATAGTTATGCCAAAGATAGAAAGGAAAATAGAGGCAAACGAAAAACAAACGAAGAAAACTATGGGTTTTGTTTCGAGTTACCAAATTTTCCTTGAGTTCGTCTATTTTATAATATGAAATGATTGTGTTTGATAGGACCAAAAAAAAAAAAGTTGTACACGAAGATAAAACGAGTCTCTCTCTCTCTCTCTCTCTCTTTTGGAATAAATGATTGAATATATTGTGACGATTTAATTTAATTTTTCATCTGCCGTGTAATCATGCATGTATGCGAATTTATTACTTACTCTGAAATTGCTCGTTTGTTCGCGATCTTGTTGGTGACTTTCTTGAATTTCATCATGATTGCCCTTCCAAGAGTTATGGTCTTCGTTTCAAGCCAGAATACTTCTTTCAACCACTCTGAAATTTCATGGCTTTCTATTATTTGCTTCTGGTGGTTCTTTTAATTTTTATTTCCTACAATACGAGCGTCTGAATAGAGTTCGTTTTAAATGTTGTCGGATTGGTCATGTTCATCAGGCTTGCTCTTCTTATATGACCTCATCTCATGCTTCTCATTACGCTCCCGGTTTTTACGAGGGCCTTTTGGTTTTAGTATTTTGATTTCATTCAACTGGTATCTTAATGTCTACCGCATGGACAATCCGCTTATTGAGAATTACAATTTCCTCTATCAGCCGAGGAGCTTGCCCTGTTCCGACAGTCTCGGTGCAGAGGATTTTTCACAGGATGTCTCACAATCTTTTGCCACGTACAGGATGTCTATTTCCATGTTGCCGACCTTCGGTTCGTCTCTGCCGAGCTTACTGCTGCTTCTGCGACTTCTCACAAGAAACGGAATTTTGCTCTGTTTTCTTGTATAGAAACAGAGTACTCTCTTTCTGTTGGGTTTCATGGGGTTTGTGCCAGAAAACATCGTTACTTGGATGATTTCACGGGACCTTCATGGGTTACAGCTTCATGGAGGTCCCTACATTGGCGCTGCATCTTTTTTTGAGTGTTTTGAGTCTTGCTTTCTGGTTTTTGTGTCCTGTTTACGTTTTTTTTCAATCTGCGTCCTGGTGTGTTTGATCTTTCTTTCGTTGCTCGGTTCTAGCAATGATTTCCTTTCCCATTTGTCGGATGAAAATCCATCCGTTCTATAGCTCATGGTGTTTCATTAGGAATTGGTTTTTGAAACAGTTTCTTGCGACTACAATGTGAGTGTCCAATCTTATCGTCCGCACGTGTCAGAATTTGGCAATGTTAACAATTAGGCCCTGATTCGTTTCCATTCTTAGTTTTTTTAATAAAAACTATTTTATACAAAGTTTTTAAAATTATTTTTTAAAATAATATAAATTAAAAATATGTTTGGTTATGTCAATTAAAACAGTTTTAAAATTAAAATATGGACTGATATGGTTATAAATAGTTAATAGTCATAATTAATAATAAAAATTAATTAAAATAGCTATAATTTTTAATAATTAAATGTAAAGTATTTTAAAATTGAGAAAAATAAAATAAAAATAACTTGAAGTTGTTTTTATTTTTTATTTTTAAAAATAAAAATAAAAATAATTTTAAAAATAATTAAATAAAAAATCATTTAAATAAATTTTTACATTTTTGCTTTTAAAATAGAAAGCAAGCAGGCCCTTGGTCTTCCTTTAGTTCTAATTTTGGTTTTTTTGTTGTGTGTTTTTTTTTGTTATGTTATTGGTCTTTTGAATTGCATTTAGATGGTGAATTTAAGTTAAAAATTTAAATTTTAAATCTTATATTTAAAATTTATATATTTGAATTTAAAGTAAATTTTAAATTTTAAATTTTGTATTTGAATTTAAAAAAATTTGAACGATTGGTCAAAATCCAATTCAAATGATCAATTTCCATCAAGATTACACAATTAAAATCGACTGAGACTATAGCATACAATGACTAGGTTGGATGGCCGACTTCCACAGAGCCGGGCCAACATGATGAGGAGGATAGAATAACCTACTTTCAATAGGACCTAGTTGGTAGAATATAAGGTTAAATAAAATAATTTGTTCTTGCTATGGTTTTTAGTTAGTTTTATAAATAAATGCCATGAGAAAATAAATATGTTTACTCTTTTTATTTGATAAAATTGTAATGATGAAAGAAAAAAAGAAGATAAAGCTCAATAAAATGTGCCGCCGAACTAAAAATCCGAGGGCCTCTTTATCTAGAAGGTATTTCTTTTCTTGGGCCAGGTCCTGTCAATAACAATAAACAAGGAGGCGTCGTTTATAGTGGGCGGCAACATTTTCGTTCTTCGTTAACCAAAACATGCGGTTGCTTTTGGAGTCCATCATCAAATATATTAACTAGCGCACTACCTGCGCTCGATTACTTTATTTGATATACGTAATCATGACGACACCTATCCCATTATACGATTGTTTTTCTCCTCTAGACATAATAACTTGGACACGTGTGAAGGAATTTAATAAAATGAATTCAAACATTTATTTTTTTACAACTAAAAATTACTCCATTAAGGTTAATTAAAATAAATATTGTCAGCCACAATAAATTCCAATAGTCAAACCCAAATGATCTGCAAAATTTTATGCATCTGGGACGTGGAATCAATAGTTTAAAAAAAGACACACCCACCGTAATAACACTGTGAAGAACAAAATCACTCATGATATGGTGTTTAGATGATTTTGGGAGCCTCTAATCATAAACACCTAAAGATGGGGGATTTCTAGTTGCACCAAATGTGATTGGATGAATTTTGTGAGCCTCTAATCATAAAGATGCCTATTGCAAGTTTGCAACTATTAAAAATTGTGCATCCTTTGGCACCCTACAGAATTGCATGAGGAATACAGTAAAATTACAGCCATGTTTCAAGTTCATAAAAGGCCAGAAAATAAAGCTTGATAAAAACCCTATCTAAGATATTTAAATTAAAAATCATAGTGCAGATGTGTAAAGGCAGACCCATCATCCTTTCTAGGATCCAGTAACTCCTCTTTCTTCTCTAAAACCTTATATAGTACAAAAATTGCTTGAGGCATAAATAACCATCGTATATAATTTAACAAACATGATCAGCAAAACAAATGTAAAATGAAATCTATTTCGTAGACTTGAAAATCGATACCAGTTGATCTTCAAACATAAATAAGAAAAATGTGTGCTCAATAGCCAATAGTTTGAAGTATAAACTACAAAACAAACCATATACAACTCAAAAAGACTGATGATAATAAAAGTGATGAACTAATCTTGGATCTCTCTCTCCCTCTCTAAGGCTCCATTATAATTTGCATTCAAAATCTTCTATGCTATCTTTTTCATAAAACACAGCAGAATTGACTAGATATTGAAACAGTAGAATAAAAAAAAAGAAATTGACCATACTACTTGGTAACAAATCAAATTTAGATAGATGAGACAGAAAATAAGATATGTTTAATATAATAGGTAAGAAATTTTTGATGAGTCGAATGAATGCAGGTGATTTATTCTGTCAACACCAAACCAAGTATAATAGTCCATTACCCTATATTTATGGGCAAAAACAAACGATTAGCAATCATGCAGTGTGTGAACTCATTCCAATCTGCATGGACAATAGTTTAAAGACATTACTGATAATAAATCAATCAAGAAGGAACCTAATATAATTTATTATCCTACAGAATTGATAACTCACTCACGGATGCCTCTACCGCCTCAGAAAGGGATGCTTTGTTGCCCCCACTCTCCAGGATTGCTCCTTGGACTGATGTAGAGGTGCATGCCAATTACATAATCACTAATTTCACAATTTTCATAGGCTTGAATGTGCATGGATGCATATATCCCATTAAATTGTTAAATAACTTCACCTGAGAAAGAGGTGCCTTTAAGAACAGCAAGTACACGATAATGCATCAAACCTAGAGCTCGAGACTGTTTATCAAAATACAGCCAGAAGCCAAACTATTCGAAGTTAAATATATATATCATCATGAGAAGAACTTCCAACCACCAATGAAGGACTAATAGTAGTACTTATATAGGATAAAAAGTACCTAAAAAGATAAAAAGAACTACACTCCACACTCGGGCACCTGAAGTTGCTGGAATTTGAGCAAGTAGACATTGGATTCTGCATACTGTGGATTGATTTCAACATATTATATAAAGGAAAAATTAGAAATGTCAACGTGACAAATACGAATGTTAACTACAAACATGATAAAATATCACTAACTTTTTACTATTTAACTTAGTTTAGTATACTCTTGCACGGATCGATCGAATCGTGGCAATATTATTCGGGGGAGGGGGAAGACTAGAAAGGATGAAGAGGGAAATAAGGGAATGACCCGTGGGCAGAAATGGAATAAGGAAAAAAGGAGGGTGTCCAACAAAATATTCGGAGGAGGACGAAATGGAGAAAGCCAGGGTGTGACGCGGATTTCACCATCGCTCTCTTTCGTTCATCTTTGGCTACCACCCCCAATTCCAAGCTCTTGGTGCCCATCCACATCCACCCCTCCTCTCTCTTTCTACATATACTATATTACCACTAAATTCGTTGATTATTCGTATCTTTTATACGCAAATTAATTTTTTTCCTGTTTATCATTTTCATTAATACTAGTAATTCATTCTTTAACATCACTTGATTTAGTATTTTAACATTTTTGTGATGAATTTGAGAAAAATTCTTGAACTTGATCCTATGCATTTGCGTTCGTGACCCATAGCAATTCTCTAAATGGCAGTCAATGTATAATAGTAATGTTCACTTTTCTTGCGGACTATTTAGTGAGTGAGTGGTTGTTTTTATAACTAATATACTACTCGGTTGTGCTTTCTATTGCTATTACTCAAGGCTGGAATCTTAGGCAAATTGAGTGTAAATAATGTTATCACACCTGAATCGTGATCTTTCTAGAGAGGGAATGTCAATGAACATAGAAAAATGGGAGTTATCACCAACTTTTAAAAAACCTTAAAAAACTATGTAATAAAAAAGGATGGTTTGTGAAAAATGATTTGGAAGTT